CAGCTTCCAAATTATCAGATGTATTGCCAATTGAGCCTTCGAACAATACTAATTATTTTTAATGTGTAGATGTGTTATAAAAGCCAAACAATAGTAGTCAATATTCATATAATTGATATACCTTCGTCATGTGATAACGAAAATCGAGTCCTCTTTTCCTGCGTTTCGATACGTTCGCCATTACTATTCTCTTGTCTAGTATGGTCAGTTGATGCATCATCAGGAAGATTCAAAGTAACAGGTCCGTTTTCCATACTGCTTTGGAGTTCCATGCATAAAACCTAAAAATAATAAGACAAGAAAATTGTAATTGATAAATTCAATTAATTTTAGATATTTTGTATTATAAAACATGTAATAAATATATATATTACAATGTAATAAAATTATGTAAATTTTATAAAAATATTGTATAAAACTAATTTTGCCCAAATAAACATATACATTTTCAGAAATAAGTGATATATAATCTTGTATAAGCTATCATTTAATTAGCTATTAATAATATCTTTCTAATAAATATATGATAAGATAAATGAATAGCATGCAGTAAATATATTACATTAATATATATACAGACTTTCTGTTCACTGAGTAGGCCTACAGATTCTCCAATTGTTGGACCAAAAGGTATGACTAATACATCTTGAGAATTTTTATCCAAAATTTCCTCTTCAGGAGTAGAAGTACCATTAGATTCCTCTACATTTTCAGTTGTTACATTTGGTGAGAATGTAGTCATCCTTATACCCTTATATCCCTTTCCTATTATAAAATATTTTATTACTATTGCTTTCTATAATCTCTAATAATTAAAAAAATTGTATTATTATAGTACAATTTGAATAATACTATTTTATTATTATTAATGTACCTTTCCCTGTAGTAACACCTCGTTTATTAGGTGTTTCCATATATTCATTACTCAATTTATTATTATGCAATAAACCTGATGGTAATTGTGATAGCATCTCTGCTAATTGTTTCCTATCAAATGTATTATGCGATATTGCTTCTCCATTGTTATCATTGATAATCGTATTTAAAAATGTAATTAAAGAATTCAATTCACTTTCCGTAAACAGTGCTGCGGATCGTGACAGGCCTTGAAGTTTATTATTGTCAATCATTGTTGGTTCCTCCTCCAATTCTTCTGTTGCACCATCCAACATTGAGTCTATTATGGAAGACACTGAATCTTTCTCAAATTTTTTATACAAATCAATAACCTTATTATCAATACTTTGATATTTCTGCAGCGAAAGCATTTGTAAAATTTGTCCGACTTGTATGAGATTAAATCTCGCGACATAACTTATCGGTGCATCAGTAATACCGTAAGGTTCGGGATTAACTATAGCAGGACAAATAAAATATGTAAATACAAGATCAGTGCACATAGCATGCACTTCTTTTGGGTCTACATTTCCATTTTTACTCAAAAGCCCTGCCATTTGTCTTACAAGCCAGCAGACACTTGTAGGAAAGCAGTGTATTGTTTCGCGAATATTGACGATAAATCTCTGCGTAATGCGATATAAAGAATTGACTGTCCACAGTCTGTAACGTTGCAGCTTTGCTTGATATTCAGGTGTGCCTTCTTTCCCGAATTTCTTTAATCTTTCCGCAGGTGGAAATCTAATAGGCGCTTTGTCAGGATCGATGTCCAGAAACATTTCATCTTCCATGAGTAATTGCACGATAGGGTTGTGCAAAGCTGCCGTTAAGAAGAGCTTCGCGGAAAACAAGCTTTCGTGAAAGATGGAATAAAATCTGGTAAATGCGCAAGTGCCGTGTCTGAGCAATCTTCGTGGGTTATCAGACGGAATTATCTGCAGCACCATAAGATGCCTCAGCAATCGGAGAACCAAACTTTTGTCCTCCGGCAATATGCAGCTGCCATATAATCCAGCGGCTAAGCACTGCACAATTGTCTGCATTGATTCTGGAATGAATTTGTCTCCTTCGACCAAACACGAAGCGAGAAGCTTGGGTGACTTTCGCAACGCACCCAAGAATTCTCCGTAAGATAAACATGCTTGGTAACGCAGATACTTATACGCATCGATAAAATGTGAATTTTCCAATGCATTCGCTCTTAGGCAACATGATGCTGGAGTGCAATCTGGCCTTGCTACTATCAAGCGATTCAGATTAACTCTCTGTTGAGCAGTTACCCATGCTTGCTGTGCTAATTGCGACGATACATATAAAACCTAGAAATAACAGAATCTTGTATAAGATACATTTGTATAAGATACATTTAAAATTACTAGATATATGGATATATATATTACTTACCCGTTCGTTAAGATTTTGCAAATTTTGTTGTTCTGAGTTGACAAACAGTCTTTCCTGCCGCAAATGACGAGCTAATTCCATCATATCCCACTGTAGCGTCTCATGGGAATCGATACTGTTAATCGATGACATTATTGGCTGTACCTTCAACATTAAAAACAGAAATGTAAAGGAGGAACAGTTACAGAATTGAATCGGAAGAAAGTGTTATTTACGGAGTTACTTGCGTACAATCCTGTTAGTCAAATATCTTGAGCATTAATAACAATGAGGCACAAAATATGTGCGGCGCGCTTCACAATGAACTTGAAGAGAAACTCTCGAGCTTTTGTTTTTTTTTTTTATTTCTCGAATTCACAAAAAATTGCGCGCGAGAATACGTCACCTCACCTAACGGAGCAAAGAGAGGCTTTCAATTCAGGCGGAACGCGGACAATCTCACAATTAGATATTTGCATCGGCAAATACGCGAGCATAGTTTCGCTACAATATTGCAATATTGCATCGACACAGGGTGAAATTAGAGCGATTATCGTCGTACGTCGAACGCGACGCGTATACAATGTCCCGTAAAGAGGCTCGGCCTGTTATTGTTACGTTTCAAACTCGCGTGATACGAAAGATAAATCTCGCTTCTATGCATCTCGCTTTTATCTCTTGTCATACGTTAACATTAATCTATGCGCGCAGCGACAAGCCGCTGATCCCGACCCCCGATATTCAATACTTACACGTCGTTGACAGCAATTATACAGTTTGTTGTTATCTTTCGTAGATCGGAATAACACCCCCAATGACACACGATCATTTTCTGTTATAGGTTAGATTTCTTTCTATAAATGGCCGCAGGTGTTGTGAGTTGTGGATCTAATTGTAAGCTCGGACGGAGAAGACGTTTGGTGCCCTACTAATCGGGAAAGGAACGTCCATTAAAGGCCAATTTTCAACGATACGAAATTGGACAAGAATTTTCCCTTGCAAATGCAACACGTAATGATATAATGCAAAGTAAATAATTAATGTAATTTAATGTTATGTACAGTAGAATGTCAATTGATGAAGAGATTCTTTTGCGATTTTACTTGAATAATGGAATCAACATTTTGTCAATTATATTGTTTAAACTTTTAAAGATAACTGCATCACTTGTAAGATATTCATGTTCAGATTTTTACACAATCAAATTTTTTAAAGTCATAAAAATGAAATAAAAAAATAAAGTAATTGACATGAGAAAATAAATATCAATTATATCATAAAAGTAGATATCAATTATGCTTCTTTATATTAGTGCATTAGAAAGTAATTTTACTGTCAACGGTCATACCGCGTTGTAAAGTACCAGTTCTCGTCTGATCACTGAAGTCAAGCAGCGCTGGGCACGGTCAGTACTTGGATGGGTGACCGCTTGGGAACACCGTGTGCTGTTGACACATTTTCTTTTTTATTATTTTTTACATAATAACGTCATAATAATTATCAATTTTACTTAAATAATGGAATCAACATTTTATCAATTACATTGTTGAAACTTTCAAAGATAACTGCATCACTTGTAAGATATTCATGTTCAGATTTTTACACAATCACATTTTTTAAAGTCATAAAAATGAAATAAAAAATAAAGTAATTGACATGAGAAAATAGATATCAATTATATCATAGAAGTAGATATCAATTATGCTTCTTTATATTAGTGCATTAGAAAGTAATTTTACTGTCAACGGTCATACCGCGTTGTAAAGTACCAGTTCTCGTCTGATCACTGAAGTCAAGCAGCGCTGGGCACGGTCAGTACTTGGATGGGTGACCGCTTGGGAACACCGTGTGCTGTTGACACATTTTCTTTTTTATTATTATTTTACATAATAACGTCATAATAATTATCAATCAATGTAGAATGCTTATTCCAAAACAAAATTCTTTTTCACACTGTAACATACGCAGGTGATAAATACTCAGATGAAACAACAAAATTTAATTAAACTTTTATTTTTATATCATATATATATATATATATATATATATATATATATATATATATATATATATTAATATATCAGATTGCGATCGTCGTTTTAAAATTTTGACACATGTTAATTCAAATTTCAGTTTTCTAAGCAATCAAGATAATTTTTTATTCTGTCAACGATGATTAGCAAATTTTTAAATTATAAAAACATTGTAGGGAGATGTATGATGTATTACAAAATTTTATTCATATAAAGAACATTAGAAATTTTTTCTTTCTCTCTATTAAGATTTCAAGTAAGAACTGCTTCTAAATAAAATATTCAAAAAGGTTAATGTCACATACACGGTATTTGTTGATAGTAATATTTTACTTTGTTATATGTGTACATATAAACTTGTATTAAAATTTAATTTAAATTAAATATAATTCGCAATGGAGAGATAATTCCTCCATTTTTTCTATTTCCTTTTATATTCCATTTTTTATTAAAAATGGAATTCCATTTTTCATTAATTATATTACATAATTTCTTAATAAACAATTTATGATCTTGATTTCGCTAGAATATGGAAAACGCCAGTATCAATGAGCAACCTTCCGACAAGACGACCGTCGATCCATCTGTCCAAGATAACGTTAATTTTGACGTCACACCATCACCTTCGATGACATCCACCGTCACTTACGAAGGACATTCTCCGTCATTAGCTTTAATGCAAACTTCCGCTGCCATTCCCAGTACACGTTCCGATACGGAGCAACATTATCAATTGGTCGGCAATATCAATGTTATCAATCAATTGTACGCAATATCTGTTTGAACAAAAATATTATTTGTCGACGTTATTTTATTCCTTAAAATGTCTGGATTTCTAATTAAAAAATCACACGTATTTAATCTCATATATGAATAATAAGTCAAAAGTTAATAAATTATTATTAATTAACGTAAATTATTACGTTATTCATAAAAGATTATTTAACAAAATTTCATGTAATTTTTAATTAGTTTTAAACAAATTTATGTTACAAATATATAATGCTACATCTTCTCTCTTTTGAAATTAGTTGCAAAGTAAACAGGTAAAGTTTGCAGGGAAGTTAATCAAGATATATTTTGCATCTGCTATACGGAAACTTACGATCTTTTGGCGGCAGGCTTGTCGGATGGTAACTTAAAGTTCTACAAAGTTAGTTCAGAGGAAAATATATTGACTCTATGCGATGCGGAAATGATGCAGAATCCGGCTCCAGTGACTGCCATAAAGCATCGACCGATCGACAGCTCACATCCCATCACGCATACTGTAATAGCAACTTGTAAGTATTTTGCATACCTGACTTTTTGTTTTATAAAGAACTTAAATTTATATAATTGTGAAGTTTACTCACGGTAAAAAAGAAAGTGAGAGATACTCAATTTTACATATTAAATATCATTTACATACGTAGATGCCAACGGCTGTGTTAAATGCTGGCATTATCCAACCGCGCAATGCATTTACACGATACGAGAAAGACGGCAGACACTTGGTTTAGCCTATCATCCTCATTTACCGAAATTTGTTACTGTCGGAGATGATACGAATCTGTACTTGTACGACGAAGAAACAAAGACGAGGGAAAGAATATTTCATGGAAGGTAATTATACCTGTTGAAAATATTCTGAAATGACAGCCTTTCATAAAGAAAGAGATTCCGCGTAAAATAATGATAAAAAAGTTTGATCTTATCCAAGGCATTTTATGTTTCGTACGCGTAGCGATTCACCGGATGTCATGGATGGTCATAAATCCAGAGTCTTCAGTGCTTGCTTCAATCCTAAATCCGTGCATGAGATAATAAGCGCTGGCTGGGATGACACCGTTCAGTTTTGGGACACCAGACAAGCTCATTCTCTCCGATTTATATCAGGTGTACATATGTGCGGTGACGGTCTAGATATCAGTAGAAATGGAAGAGAGGTTTATATTCAGAGATTTGTTGATTTTATATTCATTTCATGCTTCTTTTTCGATATAATGTATATTTTGTTAGAAAATTGACAAATTTATGTCAAATTATAGCGTAATATTGTGTATTAATAAATCTAGAAACAATTATGCGCTAAATAATTACATATTAACATAATTAACTGGTAATTTTATTACTATAACATTCTCTGCTATAAATATATATTTGCTAGAAATATTTACATAATATCTACAATTAAATGATTCTCTCTCCATAACAGATCCTTACTTGTTCATGGCAAAGGAACAATCCTTTGCAATTATGGGACTATGGTAGTGGCAAACTGATTATCAACTTGGAACCGGACAGTTATCCTTGTTTGTTATATACTGGAAAATATGTGACAAATTTGTACGTTGCATGCGGAGGCTGCGACACTGATCTCTTCAGGATCGTCGATTTGCGATCTCATTCGGTAAATTTAATAATATTTCATGCTATTTCAATATGAAAACATATATTGCTTCTAAAATTTTCTTATCGCAATGAGCTGATTGTTATTTATAGGGAATATGAGAGATGATAAATAAAAATGACATTTTAAAATGAGTGATCAGTATTATGACATTGTATCGGATTGTTAGAAATTTAATTTTAACTACAAAACTTGATATTTTAATTTAACAGAAAAATTAATTTTCTTTCCTCGAGTTTTAATATTTCAATTTAAGATATATGCAACATAATACGATATAGTCATTCATTAATTATAATCGCATTATAAAATTGTTTTTTTACAACAATGTTTTTTACAACAAAATATTTTTTACAACATATGTTCTTATTGTAAGATAATATTTTCATTTTATATATTTTCTTTTTTATAGACTATAGCTATGATCAAATATCTCAAGGGAGGCGTGTATAGTTTGGATATCGGCCCATTGGAAACGAGATATGCCAAACGAACGACTCTCCCAAAACTCGCTTTTTGTGCCGGAACAATGATTTTTGAGGTAGATGCTCAATTGACTACTTTATGAAATTTTTTTGATACAAAAATATACATTATTTTTTTTACAATTTATACAATATTCAATTCGTACGTCAAAACTTGAAAATGAGAAGTATATCTCATTATATATCTTTAATATAGCTGATTCACGATTATTACTAGTAAGATATTTGTAAATATCTAGTCTATATAAGATTTTTTGATACAAGATAAATGATTTTCTTTTGATATCCATACATAATCATAAAGAAAAAAATATTTTTTTAAACAAATTTCTGTAAAACTATATTAAAACTTTTATTAAAACTGAAATGATGCAGTTTTATAATCTATATAAAATAATCATAAATTTTGATTGATTTTTTTTCGCTTGATAAATAATATTTTCTTCTCTTTATGAATGAGCGAGTTTGAAATATGATATCACTATAATGTGTACATAATGCGTTATTAAAGATGAAATAAGATAACAAAAAATACAAAGAAAGAAATGATGATAATATTTAAATAAAATAAATCAATTATATCTCTTCCGTCTTCGGTAAATGTACGTTTTCGAAGAAAGTAGCACATGCGCTCTCAAGCAATAAACAATGTATTTTATTTGATACAAACTATAGTACAAAATTTATACAGAACAACATACGGTTTTATCATTTCTCATATGACAGCATTTCTCATATCGAACGAACGCACACACTTAAGCAAAACTTAAGAGACAAGGATTAGGGACGGTCAAAGGAACGGGATAGGGATAATCACTAAAACTGAGCACATCGATTTGTGACAATACAAACTTACTTGACACGAGCAAATCCATCGGTTGTTGAAGCGATTCAGTGTAGAAAAAGATCGCTCGCGCACAAACATGCTGAGAGAGCAGAAAGCGCATCGTTTTAATTCGCACCGAAGACGGCGACACGTCCTGTTTTATAACACTTATATAAATAAGACTTATCGTCGAACATTTATTTGGATTACATGGCAGTCATTGAAATCTTGCGCATTCAGCTAATGAAAAGGAACAACAAAAAAATCTATACATAAACAATTTAAATATACTCTAAATTGAACAATTTTGCTGGAGCATTCAAAAGTTTCTGAAATTTTATTTTCGCTTAATCGTAACTTTTGTAAAAACAGGACACGGTTGTCTCCGGCGAGATATCGCACAGAAAAAAATATCCTCCTTTTTTTCTAAATCGCATCCGATTGTACTTAACTTGTGTAAGTAGAATAATAGTTAATCTCTAGGTGCGACCCAACAGACCTATTCGGAAAACTACATGTTCCACATTTTTTGCCCGTATTTACAATCTGAACGATCAACGAGCCTAATTTGGTTGAAACGCGTGATATTTGTAATAAAATATATTTTTATATTACGATAAAATCGCGACGCGCGATCGCAAAGCGTCCCTTAGCAGCGGTCGCATTCGTCAAAGTACATCAGAGTATAAAATTGGTCGTCAATGCGGGTTTCTTTCATCAGGTTTTCGTCATCTAACTAAATTTCGCGCGACGCGGTAGAAATGTGTATGATTTACAAAATTAACGACGAGTCGATGATATGTGTTTAAAAAAATATTGTGACGTTTACAAAGATATAATCGCTCCAAGTCGATCGATGGAAAAGTGTACGCAGTGCATGCAAGCACTCATGTAAATCAACATATCTTTCCTTGTCATTTTATTGTACTTTTTTATGAGAGTTAATAGCGACATTTCCTGATGCACTATTGCGGCTGCATCGTCAGCCATTGAAAAGCATTACACGATCAATCAATCTCGGAATTAATCGAGATAAAGATTTATAATACGGGAATACAAAGAGCAAGAGTTAATAACAATTAATGAACGAGAAGAGGTACCTAATTCGCGAGAACAATGGTCGTTTCAACCCAAGACTCTCTAAATTGGATCACGAACAGCGAAGAGATCCAAATTCGTATACGCGCATAGATCGTAAGTTAAATGTGAGATGGGTCGATGAAAATCTAGTAAGGTCTGATCTTTTATTGAAATCGTAATCTTCGCGTTGCAACATATATCACACATTTCAGGAGATAAAGTAATATACGTAACTCTAAATTATTATTTTACACTTTAAGAGAAATCTCTTTCTAATTCACTTATTACAACATTGCTATTTCTTCGATTGACTAAATTTCACATAGTTCCATGATCATGCAAAATATGGCCGTTGACAAAAGATCAGGAGGAATCATTTTTCGGGAACGATTGAATTCGTGAATTTTGGTACCCCCTTTTTCTTCAATCACATTCGTACTTTCGAAAACAATCGCTCAACAAAAAACACACTTCGCTACATCGTGCGTTGTCACACACAATGTGCATCTCGCACTCTCTAATCACGTTATCACCTATAAATTACTAATAGTGGCTTAATATTACATTATCTCGAGGTCTCGTCGTATATAACTTTTATCCCGTTACGACAAAATCGCTTCGCAAATCAAAGATTTATCGTCTCTCGAAGTAACTTTAAATTCGTAAAAAAAAAGAGAGAAAAAAAGATCAAGAAAACGAAGCAGAAGAAAGGTCAGCGTGTGCCTGAGGCTCAGACCTTACATTCACAGCCTGACTGAGCACTCGGCTCTTTTTCTCTTCTTTTGCGGACCAAAACCCGCTCCGCTTTTCACGTTAAGTCATCATATCGCATAATATACTTTTCATTCTTAACGCACGTTTGATTCCGAGCCCATTAACTTACGACGAAGTGATAAAGGAATAACGATTATATCTCTCTTCCTTAATTTAACGTTGACCTCCTTCTCAACGCGCAGCCTCGTAATTGTTGCATTTCCAAGCTTAAAATAATTGAACTAACGTCAAGCCAAGTTATACATATATATAATATATAATATATATATATATATATATATATATATATATATATATACACATACATACATACATACACACACATACATACACATATACATAAATATATATACATATATACATACATACACATACATATATATTTATATACATATGTTGGCGAGAAGGAACATAAAGTGCCTGTCGTTGTTTCGTAGTAAAAGATCCTATAACGCTTACGTGAAATTATCGTTTTATAAATAATAAGTTACATTACCGAAATGACAAGATCGTTCTTCTCGATAAATGAAACGATTGACAAACAATCGCAGCGATGATGATGAAAGAGAGAGAGAAAGAGAAAAAAAAAAGATCTATTCTTAGAACAATTGGGGCGACCATTTTAGCTTCGAAATTTTCTGATTTTCATCGCCAATAAGAAGAGATCACACACGATTTTATCGTCACGATAACATACCCATGCATTATTCACAGAGGTATCTTCATTTCGAATTATCCGTTGCACTCGCGTTTCGTCTAAGAATTCGACATACGCAAAATAAATCGTCTAATCACTTTTACATGGTGTTGTAAACAGGACTGCTATGCCTAGGCCTGACTTGTAGCCTAGCGAGGGGATGAGTTCTACCATGCTGCTGTTGCTTCTTGCTAGCTGCCTTTGCCACCACGCTGGCCACAACCACGCTAGGTGACGGTACCGCTGGCGGTCTACCGGGTGCTTCCGGCGCCTCGTTAAACAGAGGCGCCGAGTGGTTATTGATCATAATTGGCGCTGATCTTCTTGAAAATTCAGGGGCGATTTTCGATTTTGCTGGCGGATGCACCTCCATAGTGTCCCAATCTTTGTCTTTGTGCGCGCGTAACTGCACGTCCGATGAACTTTTCCTGGACTCTGGCTTCGCGACCTCGTACTTTCCCACTAGTACTCGGACGGAGAGATCCTCCGATGTACTATCCTGCGACGATAACGGTGGCGTAGTTTCGTTTCTTCTTGTCTGCTTGTTGTCTTTGGTTTCACCGACGCTGGACGACGACTGGATCTTAGATTCGTTATGCGGGATCACCGGTGACGAGGGCAAGCTCCGAATCTTCACGTCCCTTTTTGGTCGTGCGGACAGTGACGCGTTTTCGCCTTCACACATGTTGTTCTCGGGGCTCCTTTCTAGCTTAGTCGACTTTGCCTCGAATTCCTTTTTCAGATTTTTTACTATACCAGATGTGCTACGTGGACACTCGGCTTCTGGCGAATCGTCCACGGAGAGGCAGCGCTTACTGAACACGGACTTGTTGCACAGATTTTCCAAGACCATTTTGTGATGTTTCACGGAAGGACATTGAGGAGTATTGACGACGCACGGACTGGACGTTTCGCTTTCCGATCTGCACGATCTCAGGGACAGTGGCAGGTCGGATTCGGAGGATAAAGAGGACGGTGCAGGGGCGCTCGTAGATAATCTTCCGATTTGACGTATGGACGTAAGGGAGATGTCAATGCCTACCGGACTAGGCGAATCTCTATTTGTTTCTACTTTAAGATTGTATTCTTGACTGGGCGACGAATCTCTTCTTCGCGTCGGTGACGGCGACGGCATATGATGCAATAGCATCGGATTGTACGTTTCGACCGCAACCGCATCCATGTCAGCGGTCAACCTGTCATTCTTATCGTCCGCGGACGTCGAATTTTGTGTGCATACGCGTTTCACCCCGCCCACAGTCGTGCCCTCTTCTAGTTTTTGCTTAGTGCGCTTTACTGTACCCGGATGCCAGGGTATCTCCTCCTTATCATATGGGAATAGACCGCTGGATCCGAGTAAATCGGATGGCCGCATGTCGTAAGAGCCCCAGGAACTGTTCCTCGACGGTAAGGTAGCCCACGAACTATGCACTGAATTATTGTCGAGAACCACCGCACTGTCGTAACTACTCCAGGAACTTTGTCTGCTTGGAGATTCCCTTGTGACAGGAAGCTCACCCCGTCTCTCTTCGCGATCAAACACTCGATCCAGTTGAGCGCTAAATGGATCACCGTCCTTTTTAGTCTTCTTTCCCAAACTATCGGGACACGTCGACGATGTCGTCGTATCCGTTGCCACACTCGCGATACATTCACTCTCCACACTCACATCTCCGACAATTTTATTGTCATTACACGAATCCACACATGTTGCATCCGCAGACGCAGTCCAGACTAGACATTCACTATTATCGTTGATCTCGGTGGACTCCTGGTTCGTCTCTTCTTTTCTCTCCTTCTGTTCTTCAGGATCCCAAACTTCTTCTCTAGAAGGCCTTCTGTTCGCAACAGAAACTGTGCTCTCTTGCGTTTCCTGCGATTGCTCGCAATGCGAGTGACCATTCTCGATTGGTTTCGCGTTGTCCTCCGCAATTGAGCTCTGAGGCAGAGATCTCGCGTCCGAGTCGGATCCCGGTGATGACGGTTTACTGCTGGCCGCTTCAAATTGATTGGTTAGATTGAGTACTAAACCCTTCCTCTTCTGTCCCTGAGTTTCCAATTTATTAATTCTATTTTTTACGCTAGGTGGTGTTGTGCCAGGGGTGGGAGCGGGGTCTAGGTGCATTATTTTATTCTGCGACACGCTGTAAGATTGTCCATTGTCGCAGGGCATTAGAACGTTGCGAGCCTCTTGTTCTATTGCCGGTTTTTGATTCGAGCCACGGAGCAGATCCTCCCGTGTGACTTCCGCGTTCCCTGTCTTGTCGATACTTTCCAACGACTGCGATAAAGGAACTGCAACATTACATAATAAACGATGAAAACGCTTGTTTCTATATAAATAAATAATATTCTGTACATTTTCCGCATACATTTTTAACTGCATTTTACTTCAATTATAAAGTACATGAGCAATTGGAAGGTTTTTATCATTACAATTCGCATAAATAATAGAAAAATACTAGTTTTATAAAATTTACACATTGTCAATAATTATCGATAGATTGACAATGTCATGTTTGGCGATAACAAGCTCTATGATTAAGCATTGACATCAAACATTAATAAGATAATAATTTTGCATTGCCGTTCAAAAACTCGTTAAAAAGAAGCGAAACTGGTTAAAGATATATAGGATAGAAAAAAATCTTACTTACCGGAAGGCAACATATTTTCGGCGACTTTGACATTCGGTGACCAACTCTTTGGTCTCTGGCTACTCTTCTTCAACTCTGAACCTGAAATCTCCCGCATATTGTTCTCTATATTATCCGATTTTTCCTCCTTTTTTGACTGATTCTTCGCGGACGTGGGAGATTTCAGATTCGTGTCGGACTTGGACCTCTGAAGTTTCTCCTTGTTCTTCATCGCATCTAAAATACCTTGGTACGTTTCCAACTGCAGGAGGAAGCTGTTGTTGGGCTTGATACAATTGCGCTTCTCCTTGACGTGTTTCCATGCCTGGGAGAAATCCCAGTTGTATGCCTTCATCGCGTAAGCTATCACAACGGAAGCAGATCGGGACACTCCCATCTTGCAGTGCACCAACACCTTGGACCCCTCCATCTTCGCCTTGGTGATGTACTTGAATGTGTTATCCCAGTGTTTCAGCAAGTCCGTTTTCTCATCGTCGTACACACGTACATTTAGATAAGTGAACATGCCCGGGAAGAAGTTATCAATTTCCCGAGTAACGTTCAAAATATGCCTTACACTGAAATTAAAAGATACTAATTAGAGTTAAGTTTAGTACATAGTACAACAAGATGATACATTTTGAATGAGAGAGATAGTTTTCGATAATATACACAATTCACACAAAGTTTTCCAGATATTGGAAATAACGATTATATATAAAGATACATCTATATAATGATTCTTTCAAGTGAAATACCGAGTCTATATATAATGTTTAAAAGTGGAACTTGGTTTAAATTCTAATTACATAAAAAATCGATCGTTGACCGAATTAAAATATATAGACCGTTATACACAAGATTAGAAATGGCTATCAAATTTGCATACGATACGAAAATATGCAAGAAATATCTCGCAATGCGATCGAACGTACCCATTTTTCTGAAGTTCCTCTAAATTGCTGGCGTTCCACTCGCTCCCGAGATAAACGTGATCAAATATCTCAGTTGGCGCATCCATTTGACCTAGTATAGTGAGCATCTCTTGATCGATAAACGGCTTAAATTCTCCGAGATCCATATCAAGATCTTCTTCCAGTCGGCCTCTAATATACTTGGAGGTAACTTCATCGAGATCCACGGACATCATAATTTCCTTCAACGTCGATCGAATCACGCGCTCGGTCTCCTCTCTCTCCCTAGGCCTAAAATAAACATTTTTATTGATATACTATGAATAAATTACTTATATAGACAAAATATATTAAATACATAGGACAACAAATCGGCAAACTATCAATGATTATTTTATTTCTCGCATATTTTAATACAAAGTAATATAAATCTTCTTTTCTAATTGTGAGCATTTTTATAATTCTATATAGGTAACTTTGAAAAATTTATATGAAATTATTTACTGGTTTAAGATGGACTCGTAAACGTAAAAAATTAAGAAAGAAGAATTAGCAGAAGATTTTGCGAATATATAATACGTATATCAGTTTCCCGGATGTATGTTCCAAGATTTCATAATATTGGAATCCAATAGGAATGACCTAATGTTGTTTCGAAATGTTAATTCGAGAAAGGATGAACAGACGTAGAAACTGGAAATAATTGAAGGACGGCTATAAAGTTACGCTCCACTTGTATCGCACGCGACTCGAAGCGGTTGCATAGACAGCCAGAAAGGACGCATCGACGAACTACCGAGTCTGGCACGGAACCAAGTTAAATTCACGATAGTCAGCTGTTTCTCGACGAAGGAAGAGTCGTTTTATACGTATATTCCTCGTCGATCAAAATTTCGTCCGAACGCAAATGAATCGGGGACGCCAGCTAAATCGAACGTCCGCGAAATCGTCCGACGAGAAGGCAACGCGCGACTGCTTCCAAGAAACGCAGGCTTTCCGCGCGCGATCTATTATCTGGCTGTTGGCCAGGGTTGGAGTTTCGTCTGCGAAGGTCCGTGATAAGAGTTCGACTCACTTGGTGCGAACGCTATCCGGTGACGGCGGTCTCTTGGACTCCAGATTGTCCATGGCGTGCCATTCGTTGAGGCACGACCGATCGCTCTCGATCCGTTGCTCATAGTAACTGACCCAGTCGTGAGACAGTCCACCTAGAAAATAGTTTTGCTCGCGTGCCTTACCGGACACCTTATGCAACGTCTGCAAGGCCGACCTGGAAAACGAAAAAATGAGAACATTAGAAGAATTTTCTGAAAAGAGATTAAAATAAAAAAAAAACTTTGGCTTGCGGAGGGCTCGTGTTGTTTATTCGCTTCTCGACCTCGTTTTCCCCTAGGGTCCCTCTATTATGTTTTTTGCTAGAATAACCGAATTATCGATGCTGCGGTTTTACAACTGCTACAACGTGACGTTTCGCAAGCGTGAAGAAGCGAATCTATCTATCAGCGAGGTCTTTGAAGATCGACGGAAAGTTATCATCATCTGCGAGAACAAAGAAAGCACGTGTACTTTCTAAAGTATGAGCTGACGGTTTATACAAGAAATATCTTTGTGTTCCGGATTTCGTTAGACAGCGAGAGTCAATCTTGCGCATCGCGAGATACGTACCCCTAGGAAAATTACCGTAAGTAGTAACTTTCCCATTCGCCCCCGTTCTATTCCGAGACTAAGCGATGATTCTCACGACGTAATGTTCGCTGCGTAAGGAAGCGAGCAAAAAATATTAGCCAATTGCTTGAGAATAGGGACGCAACGATGTCTCGCTTTAAATCTTTTCAAAGTGCGAGGTGCAATCTCCATCGCGACGGAAAGACTTCAAGTTTAATGTAATTTTTAATATACGATTATCATTTTTGAAAAATGACGCATAAATAAAACCTTAAGAAACTTTTGTCGGGGGAAATAGAGGCTGTGCACGCGATCCCTGATGTCGAGATTACTGCGTTGCAAATTTAAATTGCGACATTTGCTAAATGATCTGTTGGTAGAGACTGGTTGTAGAGACTCATATACATACATGATGTCATCGATATAGTTCGCTGAGCATCGCGTTGAAACGCTCATTGCTTCGTTCTAATAAAACAGATAATAATAACAGATAATAAGATAAATCTTACAATGCTATCGCAGCGAGACGTATGTAAAGTAATATAAGACGTAAATAACATGAAAGAAAGTTTCACGATTCGTTCGTTTTTACTTTCCTCTAACAAATTGTATTCAAAATATGAAAAAAAGTGATCAAAAAATTGCGCGATTATGAAAATTCAATGCACAAAGATAGATATTTCAGACTTTCAGGTAAATATTTTTTTCTACTTTTATTTTTAAAAGTAGATACGTGTACTTTTGCTTCGTTTCCATTTTTTAAACTTGGCCGCGTTCGCTAACTAGTTTCCTGGTTTTAGATTGATATACATATAAATCAGTTCAATCGTTTCCTCTAGATGAGGAAAAGGATATCCTGATAAATATTATCTCCGCCTTGTTTATTCTACACCTATCAATCAGACTTGTTACTCATATAAATTTTATTACATAAATTGAAAAATGCGATAAATTTTATTGACCATTTATACATCATTAAGATTTTCCATTTAAATTTTTGCTGATTTCTAATGTTTTATGTATATACTTTTACAAATTTAATAAATGAAAGTTTATGCAAATTTTTGCGGTTTTTCGCAAAAATTTGTATAAAAACTGCGATAGTCCTATGTTAAAAAAGATTCTGATTTATGATGACGATCTTTACATTTTATTTATGCATATTTAACAATGCTATTAAAATTAAAGGTTTCGAAATAAAAATTAAAACAAATTTTAAAAAATTAAAACGACAAAAAAATAAAATATAAAAAGTAATTTTAGTTTTCAAACAAATAATCTTTCCTGTTTGGTCACATTAGATAAATTTGATATACATTTATACATGTTACTATTAATTTCTTTACATGTATATATAATGAAATGAAACTAAAAATGAAGTACAATCTTTCCTTATTTATTATTTGCGAATGCAGAAAAATCGATGACTTTTCATCTATCCCCGATTGATTATTTTTCATTCATTTCGCGAGAATCTCTTCAAGATTCAAGTTCGTGTACAATTTTTCTCTCTTTTCCGTCTTGTTACAACGTGAGAAACCACTTGACAAATATTTCCGATGACATTTCGCAATCGTCCGAGAAACGAAGAAATCTCGAACGTTGTTATCGTCAGCACTCGACCATGACAGTGCCGCCACATAAGAAGAAAGCGTGATCGAGGATATCCCCCTTTGCCACGTCGAACAATAAGTCAACAGTGTTCTCGAGAGAATCATCGGAACGTAAACCCTACGGAACGCCGATTATCCTTGCTTCACGCAGTTGGAGGTCTTCTTAGTGATCTTCGCTCTATTCCCATAATTACGATATCGGCCTTTCATTTTTGAAGAACGAATTGTGATAAGAAGCTTAACCGAGTGTCGGACACAATTGTTATGATTAAAAATATAACAATTTGTAAAAGGTGCAATATTCGAAAATCATAAAGGGAACAGAAATTTGATGTTTTCATCTTAAACTCCATCTCTTGATTCAGTTCCGCTCAAATTCCACACGCAGATCAACTTTTTAATCATACTTGTAGCAATTAGATAGAAATCTCTATTTGAAAATAAATGATAACAAAATAATAAAAAAGAAATCATAAAATAAAGAAATAATTTTGAAATAATTTAACATAAAATATAATATGGATATTTAAAAAAAATATAACTACGTATATATATAACTATACATTTTTCTAAAATGTATACTTCAATTAAAACCTGAAGCTGCAGATCTTTTATTTTTGTATTCCTCATTCTTGATTCAAGAGAATAAATAGATAACGAAGAGGATATATATATATATATTAGAATTCAATTCAGAAATACACTTGAGCACGCTATCACAAGAATTTACGCTTCTAGAGGTTCTCGCGTACAAAAGAAGATAGTTGAAGACCGCCGTAGAAACTAAAGCTATAAAGTTCCAAGGATTCCAACATCCAGGAAGTCTGCCGGTTTCGCGGATTGCTATCGGGAAAGCTGGTCATAGGCTTGCTGCTAGAAAACCGCTATGAACGTACAATGGACGCTAACTCTCAATAGCGACCACGGGATTCATCATCGAGACGTCATACGCATATATGAAGAGTATTATAACATCTAATAAAATATAATATTTCTGAAAGATGTCACATATAGAATATCAATTTTAAAAAATTAAATTTTTCAATATAATTCAATGTGCACGAGAAGAAAGATACTTTAAAATATTGATTATTCAATTTTCCGAAATAAGATTTCTATACTTTCCCATAAAAGACAAAAACTTAATATTATTTATATACCTATATGCTCAATTATTTTTTCGTGAAAACAATCCTCTATTCGATGAACGCATTAAATCAAATAGAAAATATGATAATATTAATTATTAATGTAGTTATAAAATTGCAAATGAAGAGTAACGGCATACACTGGTTGTAAGTTACAATCGTGACGCTAAATATATGTTGGAAATACCAGTCACGTAAGAGGAAGTAGTCAAGAAATAAAGACATATAAGAAGAATTTAAGTGAGTATGCAAAGTATCCATATTTTACAAATACGAAGATTTTTCTTCTACGGCACATAGATAATTGACATCGGTCGAAGGTAAGATTTTTTTGTACAGACATCTGTCTGATTTCTATGCGTCATATCTACGAGACGTTATGAATCAATAGAATAAAACGGAATATGTGGATACATATATGTATGTGGATACATATAAATGGAATACATATATATGATATATATATATTTTTTTTGTCAATATAAATTTCGAAAAAATCAAGATTTCTCCTTATTGAAAATTTAATATAAGATATATTAATTATCTTTCGCATAATTCTTTATTTCCGATAGTAAGCACAATAACATTAAGCAAGTCTTAATTAAAAATTTAGTTGAAATAATTTATTTGTAATAAAAAATAATAAAAAAATTAAAATAATTATATTTGCAATAGTTTTTTAAAATTCTTTAATTTCTAATGATTTCTAATTTGCATTAACTAGTCTATGATGTGCCCAGACATTAAATTCTTGGATTTTATAGTTTAAATACATTTAAATATAGTTTTGCGATACGCGATATTCGCGGATATTCAGTGTCCATTTTCGTGAAGCGATCAATAAATCGATCAGTGAATTATAAACGCATATTGAAATTTAGGTCGATGTAACAGGAGAATTTAGTATTTTTTTCACAAATCTCGCGTTGCCACATAATACTTTGTCTAGGCTTTGATCTACGATTTATTCATGAATGATGACGAAACACGCATTGTATATCTCGTAATTTTATCTGCTCTACCGATCGCGAAGCCGCATTATTAAGAAACTTCTGGGAGGGAGGAACTGCTTGGCCTTTTGATACCTTGACCTTCCTTAGGTAGCCGTATGAGTAATAAATTTCATTTCAAAGTTCTTGCAATGTTTCAAGCGAAGGAGATAACCGTCAGGCCTTGCAATTTCTTTAACCTTTAAAGGGCAGATCAATTTCGTTAAGGGTCGGCAATACCTGTGTCCGGCATCTTGGATTACGGTCCAGAGATGAGAGAATTCACACAAATAATTCTTGCCATTTATAAAATGCGCACGTATGTACTTGTATGTTCCAATTGAAGTAGTCTTATAAATTTATTAATAAATAATGTTCATTTATACAAACATAAATGCAAATGTACAAAAAAAGATGCAAAAAAACATCGATTATTAATAACATAGTAATCGTTTTCGAGTATTCCGTTAAATGAAATGTTAATCTTTCAAATGTATTCTTACCCATGTTCAATCTTAATAATAAAATTTGATCTCGTATATTTGATCGATCTTAATTATAAAATTTGTAAATCTTCTTGTGACTTTTACTTTATAATTCAAAATTTCAAGATAAAAAAACATAATTATTAATTTTTAATTTTCGAAATTTGATTTAAAGTGTACAAAAAAAAAATTAAGAGACATTAGATTTCTAAATATTGCTCGAGTCACTCGCGTCATTTCTACAATTTCACTGACTCGCTGAAAAATTTAAATTCTTTGGCGACGAATGTTTAGGGAAAACGCGTGCCACTTTCTTAAGCGTAGTAAACACCATGCAAGAAATTGTTGCCGTTCCGCATCGACTCGGCAA